GGACTCGTCCATAAAGCTCAGAGCCGTCCATGTTGTCCATGGCGGCGGCGGCGTCTTCTTTCTCGAGGAAGGTGACGAAGCCGAAGGAACGGTGCTTCTGAGTGGCTTGATCTAGCGGCGTCTTCACATCCTTGATGTCTCCGAAAGGTATGAAAGCGGCGTGCAGTATCGCCTCGTTCACTTCCTCTGCCAGACCACCCACATACAGCGTGTTCTTCTGCACTGCCTGCTGCGCTGCCATTCTCTCTTTCTTTTCTTCGTCGGCTCCGCTATACCAGGGAGGTATCATTTCTTCCCGTTTACAAGCTACTATTTTACCTCTCCTCAGCTTAGGCCCATATGGCCCAGTAGTGATAATTTTTTTTTTTTTTTAATAAATATAACATTATTTTCAGGTCATAGATCCTCTTAATATTACTAAATGATTGATTAAAAAAGCTTAAAATATTAATTTTAATAATAATTTATAAATATTAAATAAAACTTTGCAATGTTGAAATTCAATTTAAACACAATGCTGGAAGGATCTTTTTATTGTTTGGAATTTTTTGTATTGCAATGTCTAAGATAGTATTACGCAATAAAACTCTAAAACGAACCTGGCGGAGTATGTTGTTATAGGCGAGCTAGGGGGAATCTCTTGCTCAGAAATAATGGCGTCGTCATATTTAGCTATGGAAGTGAGCCAATGCAGCATTTGATCTTGGTGAATCACCAATTGTACAGTTAAATATAAAAGACATTGTTGGTAAAAGCCACTTCTTGCTCTTGCTGGCTTGTTTCTCCAGTGACTCTAGCGATGGGCGACTCCTCATTTTTATTCTTCTTATTAGCAAATTTTTGAAGATGTCAGATTTAGTTAGAATTTTATACCATAAAACAATAACACTTGATAACTTTTGTTAAGAGAGCTCGAGACTTCCTCAAGATTCCACGTCATTGACACTCGATTTTATACTGTTGATACTTCTAAGAAAGTGTGAGCTCTAGACTAAGATGCAGAGGAGAGAACAAAGAAGCAAAAGAATGAGCCCTAGCAATTTCCAGTTTCGGGTTTAACCCATTAAAATGAGTGTAACATGACATCGTCAGATAACCAACCACCTGTGTCAATTTTTGCATTTGATTTAATTTTTATGTCACGTCATCACCATGTCTAAAATCTTCCAACGGCATTAGTTAACTTGAATGGATGGAGATTTATTTGTTTCAGTTCAAAGCTTTTGGGCTAACATGAACCAAAAGAGTACATAACAATTTTTAAATATTTTGAGAAAAATTTGGTATTTTAGCCTGAGATATTAAAAGCTATGCTGCATCGTTCCTCATCATGTGATTAAGGGAAAAATTATGTCCAACCAAACCCAAAATCTAAAATCCCTTTCAAGTTTTTGGAACAGTAATCTCTATCCTTCTAATTATTCAAGAATCCTGAGAAATAATTACTCCTTTGGAGCTTCTAATTATTCAAAATTTGTCACAACAATTTTTCTTTCCCATGCAGCCAATAATGGAAATTTTCAGTTGCTTCCCTTCTTTCGTAAATACATGAAGCCAATCCCCACTGAGATGCTGAGAATGCCCACAGGAACAGCCCAGTACTGCTTTGACAACTCCACAAGTTCCTTGAAATACTCTGTTGGCTGGTTCTTGTGAGAAATTTCAAGTTCTGGGATTGCTGGAAAAGTTAGATCAAGCTCACCAATGAAGAAGTTTTCCATGAGCTCCCTTGCGGTTTTGCTGTGCCCAGCATCTTCAAACTCATCTGTTGCATCTTTCCCTTCAAAGCAAATTATAAGAAGCCAGTCAGACCAAGGAATAATGCCTATACACTACAACAATGTTCTGGATTCCCTTTGGACTAAATTTGTTTCATGAATTAGAAAAGTGGAAGATATTATCACTTGGCAACGATAATATAAATACCAGTTACAGCAAGGACTACGTCATCTCCGCCTGGGTGCTCATCTAGATACGTGGTCACATCATATATCTGGAAGAGATGAAAAGCATTTTAAGAAATTTCGGGGGAGAAATCTGGAAAAGTGGGTTCCGGTAAAGTTAATATGTTTGAGAGCTCAATGCCAAGAGCACTTAAAATTTCTTTGAATTCTTAACAATGTGCAATCATCAGAGAAGGACAAATAAAATTAGAATAATGACTTAAACTCTGGTTTGAACAACAGAAATCAAGGCATCATATGCTTTGCGAACTTGCTTCATCTTTGAAATTAACATTCACAAGTCAGCATGAAGTGAGTGTATACATAGCAGATTCCAAGTGATTTGAATGATAACTTGTTTGCAGGAAGCAGACAACCTATCATGAATTCAGTTATCATTTAGAATGTCTTTACAAAAATTGCCTATCAACTGATTTGTAACGAATAAATTTTCCAAGCTTTTGCTGCTGGCAGCAGGGAAAGACTAAAATATTCCATAGCATCTATAGCACAGACTGAAAATGGCAGATTAAAAACATTCTACATCACAGAACCTATTCACCCGGCATGCTAGTTCAAGTAATTTAATGTGAAAAAATTTCATCAGTTTGAAGATGAGGGTTCAAAATGTGTAGACCAGGCACCAACAAACAACTTGGTAGAACATATAGAAAGTGCATAACTGAGCAAACGAATTTGCATCAGTTTGAGAATATATCTAGGATATTTCACCTGTACCCGGAATTCTCACAAAATTTGTAATGCCAAATTTTCGAGAATAAGTTTAACCCATCACTAAAAACGTAGAAACAAAGCACAACAGATTTTGTCCAAAAAGCAAACCAAAGCAAAAGCAAGCAATAAATATTGTCATTCATATACAAATTTATCTCCCGTGAACATGATAACAGATTCATAAAAAAAAATGATAATCCAAAGAAGCCATTCTATTTCTTGTAGCAACATTATTTCAAAATATAACAATTAGGTTCCAATAATTCTAAGAAAAAAAGAAGCAGTATTTTTTTACAACTTATTTAGAAAAGATATGCTTACTTCAAGTACGAGAAATGAACGTTCAAATTCAAATGGATTTCAAGTAGAACTCAAACAATATATTTCAAGTTTTCACCATTTAGACTAAAATCTTAACTTCCTTGGAATGAAACATTATCCTTTCAATTAACTGTATTCTTTTGTGATTGAACTAACAATACATTTCCAAATAAATTCCACATGATGAACTCTATTGCTCTAAACATTATTGAGTTTGAACAAACAATCAAAGCTGCCTCCCAAAATTCGTAAACTGTTTAACTGGAAGCTCAAGAGGATTTGTATAAGCATCAATCACAAAGGCAACACAGCTTATCCAAAAGAACCCAGAGAAACAACCACCCAACTCAAGCTATGATCACAGCTAATACAGTCAAAGACGAGAAATTTAGCAACAAAAGAGATCGAAATGGAAAATAAAACAAAAACCCACAAAATAAAAGCTGGAAAAAAAACAGAAGATCAAAGGTGGAAATGAATTTGAGCTAATTGCACAAGCACGTTCTTCAAGAAAATTCTCCAACAAAGAAAAGAAGAAGAGACTACAGAAACCTTATAGCGTTGACTAACACAGTTGGTAAATTAAGGAGGAGAAAAGAAGAGAGGAAATGTAAAGCTACCTTGCCATCAATGACGACCCAGCAATCGTCCTTGGTATTATGGCTGGAGGCTTCTTGCAATGTGTAGAGCTTGGTGAGAGTCGGCATACTTGTCGGGGCCAAGTCTTCTCTCCCCGTTCTAACAGAGACAGAGATTTTTGCCTAGAACGGGTCTGAGAGGGATTTCCGTCCGTCTTCTTCCCCCGTTTAATCTCTTGGGGATGTAACCCGGGTATACCTCCCGTTTAATGCGAAGAGGAGGAGCAACCCTAACGGTTTGTTTAGACGATAGTTTAGTGTTTAGTAAAAATGGTATTTGATTATTTTACGATTTTTTTTTATTTATTTGCATTTTCAAACATATAATAAAATTTTTTATACAATCAGGTACGGAAGGCTTCGTTTGGGGGAGGGAGACAGAGAGTCAACTTATGCAGCTAATGGAAATGATGAAATTGAAGTCAATTGAATAGAAGGGAGGTTAAAAGAAAAAAAAAAAGGAAAAGAAAAAGAAAAGAAGAAATCAATAGCAATGAAAAGATAGATAGCAATAATTTATAATTTTTTACTACTTTTAAATTTTTTATTATTATTTTCTTACTATATGATATAATGAAAATAAAGAAAGAAATGATGATTTAAGAAGAAGAAGAAGAAGAAGGAATTATAGGAGATTTGCAAAACTGAAATTTCAATTTTGCATTATCAATCCTACTAATGTAGCTCAATTGTGAGAATAGTAACAAAATTAAAATTAATTAGTGATTAACATAATATGGTTCATTAATACCATAATTAAGGTTGTGATTTTAACAAATATGACCCTATAGACAAGAGGTACATGGTTGCATATTCAAATGCTAAATCAGCTTCTATGAATATGCACATATCTAAAAACCCTAATATTGATATATATATATATATATAGTTATATACTAAGGGATTAAATGGTGTCATTCTCTTTACACCTTGTTTGGATCATAATAAATGATAGACAATTAATGTATGGTACTTCACGGGTGTGAGAAAATCATATTTATTTCAACTTCTAATGGTAACAAACAGTATCTGATTGATAAATTTGGGATGAATTTTAGAACCATCAAATCGATAATATATGATCGGTAGGTTACTTTTTTTTCTCTTATACCCCCATATAATATACTTAATTCTATTTTTATCATCACAAATGAAAACCTTATTTTCTCTTCTTTCCTCATTCACGCTGCACGTAGGGAGGACCGAACTGCTCGCATCTTCTTCTTGTTCAATTGATCTCTGCTTGTTCTTCTTCTTCGATTGCTTTCAAATGTTGGGTCCTTAATTCTACTTTTGATTTGTGTTCTTCACTTTCTTGATCAGTAAATATTTTTGTATTTTCTATTTAATCTTTTTAGGATAAAGTTCTTTCGTTTTTTCTTTGATTTGCATTCTTCATCTTCCCGATGGTTTTTTATTTGAGTGCATGTGGAAATATAAGTTCACTTGCTTTATCAATTTTAGAAAGTGGAGTTGTCAATGATGATTTTCTTACAATTTCCATGAAAAATTTTCCATCGTGTTACCAATTTCAGAAAGTGAAATGCCTCTTAATATTGCTATCAACAAATTTTCACAAGTCAGTTGATGCAATTTAAAACTATATATAGCCGTATAATTGATTAAGTTAGTGTTAAAGTGATCCTCTAGAGATGGTTTTTGTAACACCCAAAATTTTTATTTTATTTTATTTTATTTTTATTTTTATTTTTATTTAATTTTTATTAGAATTTTGTTTAATTTTATTCTATTTTAATATTTAACTTATAAGGTTTTAATTTAATTTAATTTAATTTAATAGAAATAAAAATAATAATAATAATAATAATATAGGGTAAAATTATTTTTTGGATTTAATTGAATTGATTTTGGGAAAAAGGGGTAAAAATTCGGATTCTTGAGGTATTTTTGAAGAGAAAATCGAAAATCGGAGTCAAACGCATTTAAAAAAATAATACCACGTCAGCAGCCACGG